ACATACATATCACACACAAAATCAAATCTCCCCTATAGTTTAGCTCTTTTCCAACTTGAATGAAAGCCAGGCGCTAACGAGTCATTGTTATTTACCTCTTATTTCCTTTCTACTCTCTCGTAATCGTCGAGAACTCCTCGTTTGTCATAAACTGAATGTCACATGGATCCAGGTGCAATCTATCTACTTCATACCACTCAATGTGATTTTTGACATTGAATCAAATTCCTTGTCAATTTTTTTCAATCTTATACTGTATTTTAAACTCATTCAACAAGCATGTGCTTTTTTTTTAAATCTATTAATAGTGACCTATTTTGGCTCGTGTGCATCACTCACAATTAAATGCATATAGTTTATAATCATGCCACATGGTACTTCTTGATCCCTCTTTAATAGAGTGACGGGTGTGTTGTGATCACCTATCCGAAACTATCAGACATCATGACCTTTCGTGTTTTAGATACTACATATTTCTTTCAATTTCTTTATCTACTTATATTTATCTAAAGAATTCAAGATCTGTATGGAAATATCCCAGTTAAAAGAGCAAAGCTATCTAGAATGTTTAAAGTAGAAATTAGCAAAAGATCTAAAGTTGATGCAGGTTTAAATTAATACATTGGTCCAACTCAGACTGATATCACCAACCTTCATTCTCATTTTAACTAATATTGACATTCAGACCTAAAGCTATGTTTGCTGATGATAACACAAGCCAGCACCTGATTCCAAACTTGATTACATGTAAAATTCATTTAATTAATTGGCATAATAATGAATAAATAAATTACTGTTGGTCATTTTGGCAGTAAAAAATTGCCATTTGAATTTCTAGTTACTTTTTAAATATTATCAAAGTCATCTACAACTCTAGTCTCATTGTAACGACACTTGAATACAATTTAGTGAATCATACACCTAAAAAAAGACTAATATCTATTTTAATTATCTCCAATTTAAATATTCATAAAGTTTCTAAGCATTGGCACCTTGCGCGGGCGGATACTGTTGCTCATTTCAAGATTAAGTTTCCGATTTCTTTATTTGCACTTTACTAGTCAAGTGTCATGAATGTATACGTCTTGAGGTATGTATTAAGGTTCATTGGTGTACATAGAACACTTCAAGTTTAACAGTACACTTTACTTCTTCCTGCTTCAAGTATCAAGTATCACAGATCGATAGTCACAATTGGTGACACATTCAGAACCAACGGCAGACAGACGGGGTTTTCGGTAGACTGGGGGTTGTTTTACTCGGCTGGTCTGTGGCATTATCGTGCCAGAAACCGAGGGGTGAGTCGCAGCCGGCACGCGCCCAACGAATTTTTCACCTAACGGATATATGCATCCATGAAAATTACGTTTATACACTTTTTCTACTCATATAATTATCATTCATTTTTTCACCTCATTTTGAACTTCCTGAATCTGGTAAATTGGTTTGAATGAACCCAATACATTTTACTTCAAAAATTTGTGCTGAATAATTTTTAAATAAATAAAATATTTTATCTATCATTTATAAATCAATTAAAAATAAACATTTAGATAGTTCTGCAGATGTGCAGCTTCATCAAGATGATAAAATTAAAAATGAACTGTCAGTATTGATGAACAGCATTTGGTATCCAAAGCTCAATGTTCTAGTTTCATCAAACTGCTCAGAATATGTTGGAAGTATTGGAACTGGGATTTAAATTATTGTTCAACTGCACCAAAGTTATGAACAGAATAAATCAAACAGAATGTTTATAGATAATCTGTTATTGATAAAAAATAATTTTCAGTTATTGTTCAGCATAATTTTTGATCAGTAGAGCTAAACTAAATTAGAATCAATTCTACCTTTTTTGATAAATGAAAGAAATAAAAGAATGAAAGTTGATACAAGTTATAAAGACAGTGATAGAATAAAAAAACAGTTGATTAGTAATTCGTTCGGTGACCGTTGAAGGGTTCCGTAGACATCTAAAATGTTGTCACGACCTGCCTTACTGGCCTTTTACTAAAAAACATATGCAAATATCAGCCAAATCATCTCTAGTTGTCGAGCCCCTAACTTATACAGTGCAATTCAGGGTATTTTTTGCTTCTGTTCAACTATATGCACCTTCTAATCATTTAAATTTAAAATCCGAATGGTAAAATCATTTACCTAATATATGGATATGTACTCATATCCATACCTAGAGGTATAGGTATACATATATTACAAATATTAAAATCCTAGTGAAAGGCTTTGATAAATTTTCAACGAATTATGATCATGATGATCAGTTGATTTGATGAACAATAATTATTAAACTTTCAGCAAATGTTTATTCATTGTATAAGAAATGATAGGATCATGATTCGTTATGTGGTAGCATCTCGTTTGCAAAACGATCACAAGACAACTATGTACTTGAATGTACTTTGAATAATAAAAAAGGAGAAAAGTAAAATAGTCGATTCTTCACAACACCATAAAGTACCTACTCCGGTTTCTTTTCAATGATTCTAAACCCCGGGACTAGTCTGGCATACTTTGAGAGAGTACCAGGATGGTTTCGTGTATGACCGGATCATGGAGATTGGAATACAACTGGTAGAAAATCCATGAATTCGCCAACCGACTTCATGTCTTTCTAATTTTATATTCAATTGTAATTACTTCTGATGTTCAACATTAACATAAATACAATTTAAACCATGACAATTATTTATAAATTATTTTTTTTCATTAACAGTTATTGTTAGCATTCATATTTAAGATGGAAAAGCTTGATTCGACTGAGGAAATATTTTTAGAATAATTAACCAATTTTTTTGAACCAGGAAAAGCTTCCAGGTTGTTGAATTTAGATCAAATGGAGATAAAAAGCAACGGGACTGATCAAAAAAATTAAAAAAATAGGATATAAATATATTTTTTCTAGTCCTTGATTCAAGTATAGATTCAAGATTAGATCTAGAACTGTGGTGTTTCCGTCGCTGCATAAGAACAGGTGAATAAACGGGACCATAAGGCATTTCCACCTTATCCGTATGTAGTAACGTGTGGCACGTGTTTTCCGTTGGCTACAAATTTACTCATCCAAGCGAAACTCTCTTTTCTAGCTTCAATTTTCAGTCATTCAATTAAGCTTATTAAATCCACTTTATTCAAATGTGATAAATGAAACAAAGGTGACTAGAAATACTGGTATTTTTTTTAGAGAGATGAGATTTTTTTTTTAAATACTCTAACAACAGTTTATAAATTATTACTTCCTTTTAAAGTTTAAATGTCCGGCTCTTTAAATTTGCAAATGACCAGTACCGACACTAGAGCAGCTAAAGAACCGAAAGAGAAAAGGAAAAAAGGTAGAACCCAAATTTGTAACAGTTAAATGATTTTCTAGTAGATGTGATGCTCTTAGAAAACAGATCCTTTTGCCACCCTGAAGCTTAACAGTATTGACCAGTAAATTTGAAACTTGAGTTAAGGACCTTTGAGAAATACTTTTTTGTCATTTTGTTCACTTATGGACATAAATAACCGTGAAACATTTTTGGTTTTGAATGTATAAATACAATTCAATGATAATCATTATGAAATAATTTTTTTAAACATTAAAATTAACTTGTTGCAAAATAAACTAATAAATCATCTCAATTAATAATAATTATTCCTCAAATAATATTATCTACTTTTTAATTACTTATTTAAATATTTTAATAGAATTGTTCCATCTTAAATATAAATCATTAAAAAAAAAATTAAATAAAATCTCCAACGAATTTTATGTATGATAATAAAGTTCAAAAAAATATCATTAAAATTACAAGTAAAATAAATAAATTCATGTCAGTAAAGAGAAAGTAATATAAAAACTGATAATAATGAAAAAGATTTAAATAGAAATATTATAAAAAAGAACCAGCTGATTATAACGTAACGGTCTCTTGCCAAAACGGGGGTAGGTCAGTGCCCCAAGAGAGTAAAGATTTTGCATGTACCCACAGATGCACGCCCTTACAGATGTTGGCACGAGGCTTTTTAGGTTTCTACCTACCATTCTTGCAAAATAGTTTCGTAAGTGTGTAGGTTTCCTGCGGCCTGGCAAAAGGGGCGCCAGAGCTACTCGGTAAGGGGCAGGTGGGCACCTGGTCCATCTCCCGACCAACACCAAGTAGCACGAGCTACTTGCCTTTAGGTAGAACCCCAAAAGGTTCTCAATATTTCTGTTTATACCTCATTCAAATTTACAAACCATGTGCAAATGAGCAAATCATACAAAAGACAGTCATTAATTTTCGATAACCCTTTTCAAGATTTTTAGATTAATCCCTATAATTTGTTTTACCTACAGATAGTCTTTAATATTTTTCCTCTGACCAATTACTAAATTACCCATCTAATCTTCTCACATTTGCACAAGTTTTATCATTCACCAACATTCATTCTTTATATTACTCCTTTTATTCGATAAAAGAAAAGATTTTTTTTGAATGATTTATGAAGTTGATCCTGTTATTAAATAGCATAAATGAAGAGAAAATTTAAAATTTCAGTTTTTCTTGATAGAAAATATTGATTGGTGAAGAATTTTTATGTATTGTAAATCAAAGTGTATCTCTATATATTCATGGAGCACGATTAAACATCTGAGAACCACTGAACACGACTACAGAATGCGAGAATATATAGCAGAGTTTCTTCAAGGCCGGGGAATCCCCTCACGATCCGAGTTCTATTGAGTTCAACCCATACTATCTAATTTTGTCTACATCACACCGTTTAGTTTATTCCAAGTTATAAATTTGTCTGATTCTGTTTTAGATTTAATTTCATATAAAACTAAACACAAAAAATATTTCGAATGAATTCCAATTACCTGTCAAAAAATAATAATATTCATTTTCATGAACATGTCACTGTCAAATTAAATGTCTATCTAAAATATTTATAAATAAATACATACAGAAAATCAATTGAGTGTAAAATAGGAATAACCAAAATATTAGACTTACCTGACTTCAAGATAATATCTTCAACGCATCGTTGTTTACTTTGCTTCGGAGTGTCACCAGACGATAGATTTGATTTATCAAGATCACGAGTGAGTTGAGAAACCGGTGAGAATATTGGAGTTGGTGATAAGCTATCACGAAAAGCTTCATTCTCTATTTCAATAATCTTCTGTAGCCCCTTAAAATTGTCTATATTTTGCATTTTCGTTTTTTTTTTAATCAAAACGTTTCACAACTTCTTCAGAGTCAGAGGAAATATTTTTTTCTCTATTCTTCAGTTTCTAAACCTTTGAATTAGAACGTCTGCCACCTTATGTACGGTTCAAATCTGAAAAAGAAAATATAATTTTAGCAATTAATTAAATAATTTTAATTATTAACTTATTTAAAACTTAAATATACGGTATTTAAATTGTTAATAGAAGCAGAAAAATCATTCAAACAAAATTTACGACTAGAAATAAAATGTAATATGGTAATAATAAAACAGCAAATTGAACTGAGGAATAAAATTGTAATATTTAACCTTTAGACATTCATGAGATGAAAATAAAATGCAAAATCGCCAACGGTAACTCACTAGGCAAGACAGCGATAAATTCAACTTCCTATCTCTTATCAACCGTCCATACAACGATTTTTCTATGGATATGTATGAACATAAGCTATATGTAGCTTTTATGTGGAGGTAGCATTTGACAGTTGGTTACCAACACAAATGTTTTGAAAGTATCTGAGGTTAATAGAGTGACTAAATACATTTGTTGTATGTACTCGAAGGAAAAGAATAGATAAAAAAAAAGAGAGCAATATTATATACAGATTATAAAATGAAATACAAACCACGAGGTCAGAATGAATGAAACATCCGTTGACAAAGTCATAGTTAATCTCTGAGAATATCGCTTGCACTTTATTGATTACTTAATCAAACATCAAACCAAATCAAAATATCTAATCTTCAACTCTAAAACTATTACCACTAAAAAATAAGAAGAATATTTGAGAACTGTTTTATAAACAAAAGAATTGTTATGCAGTATTTAATAAAAAAATTTGATATACTAAAGAATCGACAATTAAATTCTTTTAGGGCCGAGCTTCTAGGAATTTTTTAAAATAAGCACATACTACTGTAAGAACTCGATATTAAATCATTCAAAAATAAACAGTACTTGAGGTACTTGGATTCACTAACGTTTTCCTGGTGGATATTTTTTCATTAATTATATAAATGAATAATTTAGTTAAAAAAATTTTAATATCGAGATGAACTCGTCAATGTAGTCATATAACACGTATGACATTAAGTACACTGGTGGTTAATGTTTCCAACCGTCGTTAGATATTTAACCCGCCTTCTCAGTCTCTTGATTGTGCCTTGTGTATGTACCAAACCAACACATTCCACTCCTCTATTTAGTCTAGACTGTTGTGTCTTTCGCGCGCACACCACATCCTCATGTGAATCTGTTGGTCCCTGGTGTCATCTCTTTTGTCTCGTCACCAAGATCACCAATTTTAGCCTTGAATTTTACTTAATATCTCACATTACCCGCAGCATTAAATGAATACTTCCTTCCTATGGATTATTCGGCGACAGTTGTTATGCGGACATTTTAATCAGGATTAAGACAGTAGAAATTTGATACTAAAATGCCTGGACCACCCATTCATTAAATTATTTATTGGCATAAAGAGATGAAAAAAAGAATTATGTTTACTACTGATACTAAAAAGAAGCTTTTCGAAATAATTTCAACGAGAAATCTTGGAGTAAAATTTGCATTAAAAAAATGCATTATTATAGAAAAATGAAATAAAAATAATGTTAAACTTCAAAATGAATATTTATCGAACTAAATTATTTATTGAATTACCTAGGGTTATATTGAGACACTTACCTCGGAATAAAGTGTATGAAGTAGTAATATCAATAGATAAACAACAAAGATGAAAACAAAAAACGACTCAACGGATTGTAAGATACAGATAAAAAAAATTAACACAAATAATCCATCCGTATTTATAACGGATTGGAAAGTTAAACTTATAAAAATTGATTGTTTGTTAATTTTAGTAAAATTAATTTATTCGCGACTTAACAAATTAATGAAAAACACAAGAATCGGTTGAAAGACTAACTCTTTCAAATGACAAACACATCACTTGAATAACGTCTTTATTACTGACCGTTAAAAGCGCTAGTATCGCCTACAATTTGCAAATTTTCATTGGTTCAAAAGATTACAAATCTATTTAAAGAAATAAGATTTGTTTTTTATTTAATTGTTAATAAATAATATAAGCATTTATACAATATTTAAAAAAATTTTTTTAATAATATCCATTTTCCTGTTATATTATTTAAACTTATGACATGTTGTTTTGTATAATTCTATTGTTTTTCATATAATCAATTTTTTTATTATTACTTATCTTAAAATACTTGAACAAATCATCACGATGACAATAATTAATATTATAAAATAACTTATTCATTTCCATTAATTTTCTATTCTTTCTCTTCTATGATTGGACATTTTACAATTTAATTGATTATAAAAGTTAGTATTTAATGAACAAAATATGTAATACTATCTTCTTTCTTTTTTTTCATTTCATCACATTCAGTCAAAAGTCAGTTGTCTAAAATATATATCGCTACATATATTTATGTATATATCAATTTGTTTATTTATCTAAAATGACTTTACATAGGAATAATTTAAATTATTATGTTATGTAGAAAATTTGTTAAAAAGAAGTTTCTAGTAAAATAGTCTTTTACTAATTATATAAAAATAATTTTATATTAATTGACAGCTTTAAATAGGCAAGACAAAATTATTTTGTATTTTATAAATATATATAAATATTTCTCGATTTCAGACAACTATCCGTTTACGTTTAGAAAATTAATTTTCTAACTATTTTTATATAAATTTTTCTCTCATGTTAAGCTCCGTATTTGATTTAGTTACCATTTTATTAATTATGATATAGACCAGCCTTATTTGGGCGTCTGTTTATTCTCAGAGGAAGACATTGGAAGAGCATATTTCAAATCAATTAGTAAAAGTATAAAAAAATATGAGGAATTATATAACTAGAAAATATTATTATTTGTACGAGATTCAGTAGTTAATTGTGTGGATCTCAAAATTGGTTTTGTGGAAAGAACTTGGCTGGGTTTCAAAGCATTTGATAGCAACCCTTTAGGTTTAGGCGGAAGAGGTGGAGGCTTTAATAATTTTGTAGGCGAAAGACTGGTTGAAGACGATGAATGAGATGGCGATGATTCCAAACTCTTTGAGGGCGATATGTTACCATTTTCGATAATTGTTTTATCTCCATCTTCAAGGGTGACATCAAGACTACCCGAACACTCCGAATTTTTATTAACATCTGCTGCGTTGATATTTTTGTCTAACTCTTCAATGTTATTATTGCATTTACTCTCTTCAAATTTGGCAGTATGAGTTGTATAGTTTTGTTTTTTCTTATCGTCATTTAATGACATTGATGCATCGTAAAACTTAGATGTGCTATCGCAATTTGCTGATACCGTTAAACGTGCCCTTCTTATTTTTTTTTCCTCCGTATGTTTATTGTTTTCTTTATTCTGTTATATGAAAGAAAACAATAATAATTAATTATCTGCTACTAACTATCAAAATGCCTCAATATTTTCTACTATAATACTAGATGATTGTAATTATAGATTTTTATCGTGATAAAATTTATTTAATAGTAAAGATAACTTGAGTGTAATAAATGAAAAAGATAAATTGCATTACTAATTGATGGCAACAAAATATTTTTAAATAGGAAATTAAATTCAATTTACCTTCAAAAAATCTGGAAGCTCGAAATTAATTTCCGTTCCTCTTTGGTCTTCAAGTCTGGATCTTTGAGCTCTTTTTATTCCTTCCAATAATTCTAAAAATGATAAGAAGATTTAAATATTGATATTGGAATAAATAAAAATAAATATCAACTCAGAAAAATTAAGTGTAACATGGTATAAAACTGAATCTCACCATCACTATCGAGTTTACCAGGCAACTGAAGTTTGACTCCATTCCTCCATTTCGCAATTAAAGGTGCATGTGGTCGACTTGAATGTGAACTTTCTTCTCCAGTACAATCAGAGGTACTTTTATCACTCATATTACTGCCCTTATTTTTAGATCTCTTCTTTCCTAGGACTGTTGAATCACGTAGGAAAAACTTATTTGATAAAATTGATGATCCTTCGGAGCGTTGATCGTCAGACTGTAATTGTTCAAAATAGTTAAAAATAACATCCATATTAATGTAAAAGTATTTTTAAATTATGAGGCATTATAGGAAAGCAGAAAAAAATATATATTTACCTTACATGAACCTTCACTTTGATATTTATTATTACTTTTTCCAACTAGAAGTTCTTCAAATACTTTATTTGTTATTTCATCGAGTGTTGATTGCCCTTGAGGAACACTATCAGGACATTTGAAGACATCTTTTTGAAAATCTATAAGGAAGTATATTGTCATCAATATTTACAATCGAAAAAAAACAATATTTAAAACAACAATAAAAAGACAAAATGTTAAAACAGCTAGTAAAAATATACCTTCATGATTAGAGGTTAAAACAAGACGAGAGGGTGCATTGATGGCAGGAATGTCCAATGATACTGGATGTCCATCACCCCAAATGGTAATCAGTTCCAACTTAAATCCATATTTATTCAATAAAGGTCGTAAAACATCTTTTAGTTTACGACCTTTATGTGCTACCACAGTCAATATCCTTCGAGATGGCAAATCAACTTTTAAAACTTTGGCTGGAACCACTTCTACCTCTTGTCCAGCTAACACTGATGAAGAATATTTCAGATTGACCAGCTGAAATCATTATTACAGTTAATTAATAATTAGATTGAAACTTTTTGAGGTAACAAGCATAATAGACAAAATTCAAAAAACAAAATAATTAAAGCATATCCAAATAAAACAATTCCCACTGACATGAAAAATATACTCATGCAATTTTAGTATTACAAAATATAAATATATTATTTAGTAGCTTTAGAATACCAAAACAATTAGGATACAAGCTTTTGATTGATTTTGTTAGTTGAACTTTAAAACGCATTTATAATTTTTATAATAAAAAAAAAAGAATATTCGATTCATAATATTAAAAACGTGGTAATTTTTATATGTAGTAATACTAAAACTTAGATACACTGTATCTCAATTTCAGAATGAACATAGCAATGTTCAATTTTTGTTTAGCTAACACTTATTATATCTTTTGAATAAATGTAAGTGCATTAACAAATTTCAAGAACAAACCTCATCCGTGGCTAGTATGAGAACATCATAATTAGAGTATTTTAATGCTCGCTTATCAAGCAGACGAGTTACGATGTCTTTAATGCACTCCGATTGATTCGTAGGAACAACAGTCGTGGATCCATCAGGTAATATCACACGACACAGTCCAGTACATTTGGAACGAGCTTCTTTTTTTTCAGATTGCCCCTCATAAGATGCCACAGACTATAATTTATTAATAAACTTTCTCAAAACACACGCACACGCACATTCTCTTTGATGATTGGTTATACTTATCAATCTATTCTTGTTTATAGATAGTTAAGGATTAATACCAATTTAGTAAAATATCAATTTTACTATTGGTTTTTTTAAAATTAAGAAGTTTAATTAATGTTATTTGAAATTTATGCTAGCTACCGTCAATATACTTTATTATGGTTATAAAAAAAAAATAACAAAAGCTATTTAATTAAATCAGAATAGATCATAAAAAATCACAAAAAACCAATTAAAGATCGTTTCAACTGCAAAATGCCAATTTTTTTAAAACTGAATTATTTATGAATAATAAACTTACATGTTTACTGAATGATTGCCTTAATGCTAGATCCCAAGATGCTAATGATGATCTACTGCTTGAAATAGAAATATTGTCATCATTGGAATTTCCTTCATTATCACGTTTCATTGTTGTAAAGCTTTTGTAAATTATTTCATTACGACTCGGTGTTTTATTATATTCAGATTCTCCACGATCTTTAGATTTTGATCTATAACAAATTGACATTTACAATGATTAGATTTAATTAATTTATTGATTAAAGAAAATTAGTTTCAACTATGATCGAGTAAATTCTGTATATATTACTCTTAGTATGAATTTAAACTTGAAAACTCTTCCACAATTAAGTACATCATTTTTACTTGAGTATTCATGTTTTCAGTCAATTTATTTTACCTGTTTTTCCTGTTCCATGGTAAAATCGATTTTCTACACCGGTCTTCAGCATCGGAATGGCTTTTTTTTAATTTCACACTCGGAGAATTGGTTAGTGCTAAATCACAGTCTTCTGTACTCACAACATTGCTACTTCCTGTTTCTAAACAATGACGATAGAGATCTGATCGTAAAAATCGTGGATAACTATCGAATTTCATGAGATTAAAAATCTGTTTTTGTGCCTGTAAAAAAAAAGATATAATAAATAAGTATATAGGAATAAAAATATTTTGAAAGGAATAAATGAGATAAATACCTGTAAAAATAGATCAACAGGAGCATGATTAAGAAGTTCCTGTGTAATTTGTCCTGTAGCATGACTGTCAACATTAACTGGCTCCACAGCAGTCGCTGATAAATGACGTTGATAAATTTTCCATGCTAATGCACGTCTGTCAGACACATCTTCAGTATTTTTATATCGTTCACAAGCTGCCCAGAAATAAATATTCTCATGGCTAAACTCTTTCTTCAAGAATTCCTGAAAAATTCAAACAATTATATTTTCTGATGATTATAGACTACATCCATCACTCCAGGAAGTTATATCAATCATCATGTTACTTACAGCAAATGTCTCTAGACCTTTAGGATCTTTTAAAAGTTTTTCAAAGCCTGAAGCCCACGTATGAATTCCAGAGTTGCTATCTAGTTTATCGCATGAATCTGTGCTGTCATACAACTGTAAATAATAAAAATAATTATTCCAATTAATAATAAAAATATTTCACTGATTTAATTAGACGTAAATTGCATAGAAAATAATTATTTTTTGTAATTAAGTATTAACATTGTTCTAGGAATGTAATTACATGCACTATAATGTATAATAATAGTTATCGAGAATTAAATTAATTTAATGTATACTTGATAACCAACACAGTTGTGTAGTAAAATGTACAAGTCGTTGTTCTATTGTAATTACAATTCATTCTACCTGAAAGTTAGCTCAGGTGTTGCTTTATGAAAGCAATAAAAATTTATTTATTATGTTCTAAAAATAAATTATGTGTATAATATTATTTTTATCATTAACTTTAAGTAAATTATAAACAATGTTGTAAGCAATAATTAACTGATTTTAGATAAAAATAAATTTCATTGCACACATAGAAATTATTTTGATTAAATGAATATTGCTTACATATCCAAAATAACTATTTAATAGTGAATTACTAATAATAATCATCGAATAAAATTGTCCTTTATATTGAGCTCATTAATTAATAATATCTGGTCAACTTAGTAATTAAATTCTTAGATCTGAATCATCCAAGACCAATTATAAATTCTATTATTTGAACAAAAAGTCTCTAAATGTAAATTATCATGAAATTATGTTTACACGAATAAATCGGAGTAATGTCGATATAAATTAGACAGGAAAAAAATTGGTGTAATACGTTGCAGAAAAAATATTAAGTATGTCAGTGCTGAGCGAACACTTATATCTTGAGCATGTCTTGAGAACTCGTTCATTCAACACGTGAAACGAGCTGTAACAATATCCCCCCCGCTCTCCCCCCCCCCCTTCCTGTTTCCCTTCCTGTTCGCTTCTCCCGGAGGTCCCCTTTTTTTTCCGTCCCTCCTTCCACCGCTGCGTTCCCCACCGCTTTGCCTCCTTCTGCCTTTCCTTCTCTGCCGCCCCTCCCTTGTTTGTTTGTTTCCTCGCCCCTCTCTCTCCCCCCTTTTTTCCCCCTCTTTCCCCCGCTTGCTCCTCCCCCCCCCTTTTTTCCCCTCCCCGGTCTCCCTCCTGGGGCCCCCCTTTCGCCTCTTTCTTGCCCGTGCGGTCCCTTTCTCCCTTCATGCCCGCCTCCTTGCCCTGCCCCTTCTCTCCCTCTGGGGTCGTCGGCTCTTCCCTTCTCTTCCATGCTTTCCCTTTGCTTCGCTCCCCTTTCTCCCTCCCCTTCCCCCCGCCATGCCCCTCCCTTTTCTTCCCCTCCGCTTCTTCCTGCCTGTCCCCCCCGTCCCCCTCCGCTTCTCGCCTCTCTTTTTTTCTCTTGTCCATCGATTTCCCTGCTCCCCCCCACTATCTTCCCCCCCGGCCTACCATCCCTATTCCCTTTGTCCGCCCCCTTGGCGTCCCCCTCCTAATCTCCTTGGCTTGTCCGTACGTTCCCTGACTTGACAAATAAATCCATATTTGCATCGATAAAGCAGCCCATAGTTAAATAAACCCATTTATTTTTAATGTCATCTACAGACACTACACTATAAGTAAAAAAACTAGCTATAAAAGCCACAAAAAACTTGTTTTCGATCACTAATTAATCGGCAATATATTTAAATTTAAAAAACTAAAAAAAAACCACGATGACAAATAAATAAAAAATGGGCGCCGCCCAAAATGACAAGATTAATTCTTTGAACGTGTACCCGGTTGACAGCGTGCACGTTAACTACAAGCAATGACACGTCATGGCGTTCATGAAGCTGAATTTTCTCTTTCTCTCTTTTTTACTACAATATTATCTTTCTTTTTTGCTCTTGAATAAATTTTCTAGCTCTTTGTATCATGGTATATAGACACAGAATGCTCCCACTCTGACACTCTGCTCTTATAGTCTACTCCACTGTATTGCTCATACGATCTCTCTAATAACACGAATTCATAAGCTATGTTGCCGTATTCGTCACTGAATTCTCTTCGCTCTTCTACTATGTACTACCAGCCGTTCTCTTGGCTGATCTAAAATCCCGACAGGAAATTATGGCGCTGCGACCTTATTGCAGTCAAAAGGAGTGCAATATCTGCTTCATTTACCTGAATTTTTTATCATCATTATAAAAATTTAGCAACACAACTGAAAAATAAAAACCAATTATTTTTTACGTTAAAAATTATTTCTAATTTTTTCCCTTAAACCTGTACAATAATATATTAATGTTTTTTTTGCAGGTATATAAATCAAATTATTTTATACTACTCAACTGTGTTGGTTATTAAAAAAATGTGCTGAATATTATATACATAATAATAAAGCGTGTTTTAAAATGTTTTGTTTAATTTAAAATTATAATATTCAATTAATTAATAAAAAAAGTTAATAATAGTTACCCCTGTCTCAGTTTTAAATTGATCAACATTTCGTATTTCTTGTAAACTAGTCCAAAGTCTTTGTTCATTACTTTTACCGGCAAATGAATTCAATAAAGCTGAGAATTGTTCATCATCTTGCTTAAGGTTCTCTAAACTATGCACTAATGATTTTGAAACATTAAAAACTTTTGGACTAAGTTTATTGCACATTTCAATATCACTTTTATCGTAATCATTTTGTTTAATACTATCCATTAATTCAGACATATCGGAGCGTTTAGTATGAGTTTGAGAGAAGAACCAAGTACCGACTGGCTCGATGAGTTTTGTTACAGCAGATGTTTTAGGGCAGGTGTTGGAGTCCCCACTACATTGGGTTTCATTTTGCCCTTCGTTATGACAACTGATCGTTTCACCCTCTGTTAATGTATTTTCATTATTTTTTGTTTTTTCAAAACTCTCAGTTAAAAATTCAACACGAGAGTCATCAGTCCAAGGATCCAAACTCATCCGAGTTTCTATACGCATTTTTGCAGACTCATTTGAAATATTTTGTCCAAGTAATGATGGTTCTGAAGCTCCTAAATGATGATTTGGATGAAAATATCGCTTTAGAGGCGAGTCAATATTTATATTGCGATCAGATTGGCTTCCATATTCATCTTTGAATCCAATTCCAGAATCTGAATTGCTAGAATGTGCTGTAGACGTGCTAATATTACTTGGTTGTGGTGAAACAGTATCTAAATTTCTACGAGTTTCTAGAAACCCACAACCACTTGGATCATTTCCGTTTTCATTTGAGTTTGAAATGTAAAGTGTTTGAATGGCACCAATTAGACTATTACAGCTATCAGGAAATTCTTGGCACACATTTAGTTCAGAAGTTTTAGTACAAATAAACCCAAAAATATTAGATGTACTTAAATGTACAGCATGATCAATTAACTTATAATAAATTGTAAAAACATGACAAGAATTAGACACAATATTATATGCATCTTTAGCAGATTTTGTTAAAATTCCGAAATATTGTTGATCTTGTTCCGAAAATGAATTACAAAAAATAATTCTATGCGATGGATATTCAGCAATAATATTATTCTCTGAATTAGTTAATTTAATATTGGCAACATGAATTGTAAGTAACACAGTCGTAGGATTCCTTTTTTCAGCTTTCAGCCTTTTAATACACTTTTTTAAAACTTGCATCATAATCGATGGATGCAATTGATTAGGAATATCGATAGTTCCAAGATAACCAACAACTGTTCTATGAACAATTTTTTCGGTATCTCTTTTATTAGAATGAGGTGGTGGAGGTGGTGGTGGTAATGCTAATGAATTAGTGATATTCCAACGATGGCACATACCATTTTGACTACATTGCATTTTACTTTGAGGTAAAATTCGTTGATTGTCATAGCTGGATTTAAACATTGCGCCAGTCTGTAAATCCTGAACTACTTTATCAACAGTGTACTGGAGTTGAGATACAGAGTCATTAACATTACTGCTACGAGTAGTTTTATGAGAATATTTTGGCTTAGATCGAGCTGTAGCAAGTCCTTCTTCATCAGAAGAATCTGAATAATAGTTCTCAGCAATTTGAAGTCTTAAAATACCCTTTGAATTTCCTATTAATCTGACAACATCATCATGCGGTGCTTTACCAACATTGTAACCATTGACAGCAACAAGATAGTCTCCAGCACGTAATCCAGCAGTTTCAGCTGGACTTCCAGGAACAATACAACTTAAAATACAAGGTTGTTGACCTGATATTGTAAATCCGTATCCTTTTGAACCCTTTACTATCTCTACTACTCTTACTCCGTAATTAATACGCTTTTTCTTCCTTCTGTTATGATGCATGATGTCAAATATATCCTTTCACAAACACGTTTTCTATAAAACTTTTAAAACTATAGGCACAAATCACATAAACTTGAAAACTAAATCACATTAATACATTAATAAAACTATAAAAGAAATTTTATGCTTTTAGCATCACAAAAAACATTAAATTAACATCACACGTCCAGTTATTTTCCATTGCAGAAACGCGTGAATATACGGGGGTGGAAAATCTACAGGTTGTTGAATGCGTTTTCAGAAATTACATACAGAGACATCTATATTCAAATATTTTCAAATTATTTGACTGCTAACGAACCTAGTGAACATCGGAAGAAACGAATGGTGGGAGGATTTTTCAGTTTTTTGAAAAGAATTATAAAGGAATGTTATTTAAAATGATTAATTGATTTTTGAAGAATAGAATTAGCAAGCTAACCTCGATGATTTATTAGGAATAAAATTTCTAGGCTTTACAAACTAATGTGTTTTCCCATCGGTTTGAATTGTTTTAACATGAAGTAGCATGATTCAAGAATACCAAAATTTTGTCGATATTGTTTTTTTTGAAGATATTTTCAGATTAAATATTTAAAAAATAAATGAATGTGGTATTGTAGATAATATTTTGGTGATAGAAAATCAAAAATATTTACTGTCACTGATAGCTCTGAGTAACTTTTTGAAGACACAATTTTTAAATTGAATATTTTTTTTATTAAACATAAGAATTAAAGTTAATATAACATTGATAAATTTTAATCTGAACTATTTTGATTTTTTTAATCTTCAATTATGGTAGAGATATCAAAAATTCCATCTTCTTTTAATAAGATGGATGTAAAATCTAAGTCTAAAGTTAAACCATCTCATCCACCAACTTCAAAAATGGTTGAAACAGCAATTTTTTCTCTAAAAGATCGTCGTGGTTCTTCATTACAAGCTATAAAAAAATATATTGTAACCAATTATAATTTAAATTCTGAAAAAATTGCACCTTTAGTCAGGAGATACATTAAATTTGCTATCTCTAAAGGAAAACTAATTCAAACTAAAGGCAAAGGAGCTTCAGGATCATTCAAGCTACCATCAGCAAATCAAAAAGTTCAAAATAAAACAAGTAAAACTTCAATCACAGATATAGATTTAAAAAAAAAATCTAAAGTGAGTTCTACTAGAATTAATAAATCTGTTGCCACTACAAAATCCAATATTTCGATTAAAAAATCGATTACCAAAGTTTCCAAATTATCAAATAAACAAAAAATAGAACAAACAAATAAAAAGGAACGAAAAACACACGATATCCAAAGAAATTCACCAAAAGATGCTAAAAAAAATAAAATATCTAGTACAGCATTGAAAGCGTCAAAGTCTAAAAGAAATTTACGATCTAAAACTTTATCTAAAGCAAAATAAATAAAATATTATTTATATATATTTACTTTTTTTTAAGTTTAATTATTTCCATGTTCAAGATCTTCCCAATTATTTTAAAACCATCATTTATTTATCACATTCATTCATGTCAATTATACTAAAGTAATTATGTTATACGAAAATAGTCTTAATAAATAAATATTGCTGAAAAAAATATTAATTTCGTTATCTCTTAAATATTTTATTAATATTTATGTAGTAAATATCAATTCAATCATTGAATAGTGTATAAATGGCAGAATAATAATTTAATAATAAAAAATCAGATATACGATTAAGTTAAAAATTCGTAAAACTAAATACTAAAAAAAATTACATAATTGAACTGAAATTAAAATGAAATCGCAATTTCAGAAGAATTACTATTGCTGTTCTTACTAGTAGTTGAGGAATGTCTACTCATTTGTGGCATTACAAAATGCCATTTATCATCATCACTTTGGCAATTCGAGAGCGGAGGCCTAGCTTTTATTCCTATTGTCGTGGGCCTTCTTTCTGGATTTTCATCTAGCATCATTGTCAATAAATTGTACTAGAAAGAAATCCAATGATTAGACTTATTACTTCAAGTCATGAATACACTAGTAATATATAGAAATAAAATTTTACCTCTTTTGAATATTTTGTTTCAAAGTCTTTTGGAAAAACAGACTTTTTGATATTTCTTAATGCATCCACTCTTTCCATTTCAGTTACAAAAGGTACTAGAAGTTCAAATAGAATAATTCCTAATGAATAAATGTCGACTTTATAATCATAAATCACTCCATTTATCTGCTCTGGTGACATGTATAAATGAGTACCCACATTAGCGGTGTGTTTTTTAATTTTTTTATTCTTATCATAGTTTTGTTCATCATTGTTTTCATCGCTATTCAATGAATCTTCAGCAATAGCTGTGACTAATCCAAAATCTCCAATTTTTACTTTATCGTCGTATGCAAATAAAATGTTTGATGGTTTTAAGTCCCTGTGAATTAATCCTTGCAAATGTACATATTCAACGGCATCAACTATTTGTTTGAAAATATTGATAATTTCTTCACTATTTCTATTTTCCGATTGCTGTTTCAACCAGTCTCGTAGACTTAATCGCCGACACAATTGCATTTGTATGTACAAAAACATTTTTGGACATTTTTTATGTTCTGTTTTATCAATTAATTTTTTATCGGTAGATTTAGTGGAATGAGATTTTTTACTATGTTCGAAAACTATTGATTCCGAATCATCATCATACATATATTTTTGTTTACTACTGGCAGAAATATTAGAACTGCTATCTGACTCTGGTGAATCACTATCATCAGTTTCTTCAGTAGAAGTTGAATTTGTCGAATGAGAAGCTTCGAAAACGATGAATGATGATGAGTCTTGTTTATTTTGGTTAATCTTAAATTCCTGAACTTCTACAGCACTTTCTATTGAACAGTGATCACTTGAAGGAACGTCAATACAAACAGAGTTACTTGCTCTCGTGGTCGTATAATTATTTGTTGTTAATTCCGCAGGGGAAAATTGTCTGTTAATATATCTGTCATCATGTTCTTTTTGCCAGCCAGCAGGAGGACATTCAAACCAAGCATGAAAATATCTAACGATATTCTGATGATCTAACTTAGCAAGTGCTTTAACTTCTCGCATTACACGTTCGCGAGAATTCTTATTGTTTGGCAATTCTATTCGTTTTATAGCATAATGACAATCATCTATTTTCTTTTTAGCCTCAAACACCACTCCAAAGCCACCTTTTCCAAGACAATCAATTGGTTCATAATCTGACAAATACTGTGATTTAAAATCTTGAGAATTATCAATATTTAGAATTTGTTTGTCATCTGATTCCTTCTGATCACTGTATTTTTCTACGATTATTGGTTCCGGAAATCCGTCCTTAATTTCTTTTCTACTTGTGAGCATATGCTGTGTTAAAAAAATATTTACCATAAGTGTCGCAATTAATATAGATAAAATTTCTTTCCACCAACTCCAAACAGATCCAATAATAATTTGCATAGAAGAGTCTTCTAAACTCTCATTATGTTTGAGAACATGAATTTTTGATTCATTATTATTTAAAGTATCATCTTGAGTATTGTTACAACTATTTAACTGCTCTTTTTTGTAAAGGTAATATCCATTTCCGTCAATATATCCTGAATTATATAATACTGAAAGAGCAGTTATTTCTGGATTGTTTTGTAAAAAATCAACTTTATCATGATTATTTTCCAGTAGATTTGTTTCAGATTCTTTTGATAACACTGCATTACTATTAGCTGGATAGGGTTGCCAAGGAAATATTTTAGTTTTGTATGGAGAAGGAAGTTCTAAAGATTCTTTCGAATCTGAGTTCTCTTGAATATAAACTTGGCGATCAAACATTCCAATGTAGATTTCAGGACTTTTTGAATGTTCACTGTTCCAAGCTGATTGAGCGTTATCAAAAAGATTCAACTCTTTCAATGTATTAACATTGTAATTAACGTTATTATAATCGATCCCGTTTTCTCTCCATACTGATACAATCGGTGAATCAAATTTATATTTCCAGAGTATTTTGTTAGGTGCTTTTTTGTTTACTGCCCAGATTATACCTTCAGGAATAATCACTTTTAATTCAATGTCATTTAATTCATCAAAATTTTTGCATGGGTTCTTTTCTTGAGGCATTAAAATCAACTCATGTTGACCAACACTATAATTCCATTTTTCTATACCCGTTCGGGCCTCTAGAGCTCTTACAGTTTGTTGAAATCGTTGAACTACTAAAACATCTTTTTGCTCCAAAAATGTGTCCCCTTCAGTTTTATTGGTACAACCATCGATGTCACATTGATATAAAATTTCACCTGTAGAGCTTGAAATTCCATAAGACCGAGTCTCTTTTCCCCCAGAAAAAACTAAATTTTCAGAGTATCGAAAAGACGATCTTAATAATTGTTCCGTTGTTATGGGGATTTGCTCTAAACTTTCCCCATCGAATTTGTATAATCCACCATTCAGGGACGGAATTAATTTTACCCAGTGTCCATCATTATTAAGCTAAATAAACATTATTATATTTATTTACTTATTTTCATTGAATTAAAACAAATTCTATAATTATTCACTTGAATTAAAATTTCTTACTTCTTTTTTATGGATATTAGATGAAAGTAATGGGCTATTGTCAAAGTCTACTGTCCATTTTTTCTCTCCACTATTATTTAAATCCAAAGCAGATAGTCGTCCATCTAATGTACTTACATAAACAAGACTGTAAAAAAATGGAATAAATCAATTATTGTAAACTCTGAAAACTATTTAATGACACTAAGTTTGATTATTACCTATTAATTGATTCTTCATTTGCAGATGTACCACCAACACTCAAATTATCAGTATTTTCACTTACAACTGTTGAAAGTGTAACAATACACAAGATTATTTTGAAAATATTTTGTTTCATACATTGCCATCGGAGCATGTTTGAAAATTTAACTATAAAAATAATGTGCTTTGTTTATTGTTTTGTAGATTAATATTAACATCACTGATTTACACAAAAAATACTTTTTAATTGGTAGTCATGAAGATATCATCAGTAATAAAGTTGATTATATCAAACAACTTGTGTTAATTTATTTGTGAAGTAACTGAAGTGGGCCGCTTGATATGTCTTGCTCCAATTGGTATTATGAAACAGAATTTACTGTATTTCAAACAAAATAAAATGAACTTTATATTTTAAAATAAATTATAATTCAAACCCAATACATCAAGATGTCATCAAAATTATTTACATATTCTTCATTATATTTTCATCAATTGTTGACGTCACATAGAGTGAGTTGGCCTTCAGTTTAACAGTTTTTTGATACATTATCTCTGGATTACTAACATGATTTCAATTATTTTTCGACATTCTCAATGATAATGGCATAATTGATTGTTAAAAACCAATTACTTTTCACAGAATTATATCCGTTTTTACCGGAATTTCTATTAACAGCATCGAGTTTTAAACAAAGCACTCCAAAACTCGTTAGATACAGCTCACTGAAGTTTTCTATTGGTTAAAGGAGCCAGCTCTAGTCGTTGGCGCTCACGGTTCACCGTGTATTTGCCGTATGTGCCGCTCTCTCTGAAGTTGTCTAGCATCGACCAATATCAATTTGAAAAATATTTTACCATCAAAAGTTTTTTAATTTAATCATAATTTATCGGTGTCTAATATGACGTTTCTTCAACTATAAATTTAACAATAATTTTTTTCTTTCAGCGATGAATTATTAGAGTAAATCATGGAAATATTACACATATAGAGTAGGCAAGCCCATCAAAAATGTGATCTCCCAATAGAAAGAAACAGAAAATAAATGTAATGTCTTTATCTTTTTTTTATTTCGAGCATGCGCTGAGTCGAGTAAACATAATGGTCAAATTCTTCTGTAATTTTTTTACTTTTTAATTTTCATTCTTTATATCGTGGCTATTTTTTTTCAATAATCGGTACAGTATTTTTAACCGAAATCAAGCTGAACATGTGTTTAGTTAGAGATTTGATTTATTTTAGAAGAAAAAAAAATTTCTTAGAGTAAATTACCTTGAATATTGCGTATCCCGCTGGGGTTTGATATAAAACCAACATTTTTTGAAAAAACCCGAAATTTGAAATTTGCGGGGTTTAGTTTCATATTTCACCGTCAGTGGCGCTGTTGAAATTATACTAGAGGTCTCTGGCTGCTTGAAACAGTAGAGGAAAAATGTCAGCTGTTGAGTGCGTGCATAGTTAATAAATAAACAATTGTTAGTGTTTTAGTTATAAACAAAATTTATTTTTGTATCATTAAACCGATTATTTATTTAGAAATAAGTTTAGTGGTTATTTAACAAAAATAAATTTCATATGTGATAAAAAGTTCGAAATTATTGTTTCAAACGTACAGTACATTTTCAAACACACTATAACCGTTTTTGAGGCGTGTGCACACTAAATAGAAGAGATAATGAGAAGACTTGAATTAATAGGTTAAAATAGATTATATTATTTTAATCAATAATGGAAGACTTCAATAATGGAGTTGATGGAAAACTCGCGTCTAGGATGCGTCGAGTTAATCCGGAACAATTTTTTACTTTGGTCAGAATGCATTTGTCGTTCGAGTTGGATATAAATACAGAAGAGTAAGTCACATGTAACAGTTGCAAAAATTATCATTATTACATAAAAAGTGCATTTTTTAAATATTAAAATATTTTTCAGCAATGAGCTTATAGCTGATAAAGCTAAATTAAAAAAATGGGGCCTTATAAATTTTTCAAAAAAACCGAAGTCCACTATGAATCTTCAACATAAAGAATCGGAAATGGGTTCTTTGACAACAGAAGGAATTAATCAAGTTAAACAATTAATTGAATATTTATCTAGAGATGAATGTAAGCACTATTTTCATTATTTATATTTGTAATAGTCATTTATTTGCAAATTAATCAATCAAAATGAAAATTCTATGAAGGAAGTGATTATTGTTTTAATTCAGGATAATTATTTTAATCTTGCTTTCTCAATTAGGTTTGAATCAAGAAGGTATATTCAGAAGAACTGGTAAATTAACCAGACAACAAGAGTTGAAAAATTCATTATATCAAGGTCTTCCATTAAATTTAAATGAGGGAATTTATAGCGTCCATGACTGTGCGTCTGTGTTAAAAGGTTTTTTAGCTGATTTACCTGAGCCTTTATTGACTGAATTACACTATCCTGCTCATTGCCAAATTGCCGGTAAGATACTAACAACTAATTCTCATGTATTTTATTACACTTAATATATTGTTGCACGAAATTGATGAAATGATAAAAATTTCAGAACTTTGCAGTATAGATTCTAATGCCAATGAATCAAGACTCTTAGGATCTATGCAATTGCTATTATTATTACTTCCTCCAGTTAATAGAATATTACTTAAATATCTATTAAATCTCTTGAATAAAACGGCAGCGCTTGAAAGTAGCAATAAAATGAATTGTGATACATTAGCAACACTTTTTACACCACATCTAATGTGTCCACGAAAGTTATCGCCTGAAGCACTACATATAAATTCACAAAATCTTTCTGGTTTAGTGTCATTTATGATCAGAAAAGATCAAGAGTTGTTTGACATTCCTACTAAATTAGCCACCGATATCAGAGCTTATTGGGTTGACAAAGAAAGGAAGCTTTTAAGTCCTAATAAAAAAGATGTAAGTATTTTCTTGAATTTATTAAAATAACGTTATTTTATTTTACTTTATGATGGATATTTATTTTCAGCTAAATGAATCTATTTCTGATACAACTGGTACAGCCCATACAGTTTATAGTTTTGTAGATCACAAATTAACAGCCAAAGCTAATTCTACTGAAGACACTCAGGCAGCATTAGCGCAGCTTTATGCTCACATTCAAGCAATGCCAGAATCAGCAAAAAAACGAAGGCTAGTGAAACAATTTAATAAAGAAAATGGTCAAGGAACTCCACGTCATATTAAACAAGTTCGGACCAAGAGTCTTGGAGATTCAATAAAAAAGCATATTTTCCAGAAAAAAATTCTTAGCAATAAGAAATTAGTTGATATCAATATTTGCAGTACAATGAATAGATCTAGTAGTGAAGAAAATTTGCAAGCTGAGGTAATTTATTTTTTATCACAACTGCTATTCTTTTATCAAATTAATTATATATGCATCGAACTAACGCAATTTCTTTACTAATCTGCTTTTTTGCATGGCTTTATAGAAATTCAAAAAGGCTTCACTGTCGTCGAAAAAGTTATTTAGTAAATCTGATGATGAACTCAGCATGGATAGTTTCGGATCATTTGAAAATGGAAATTTAATTAATTCAAAACATATTAGTAATAGTACTGGAAGTATTAATAGTCCAATTGGTGGACAAAAAGAAAAGAAGAAGATATTAATGAACTTTATTGATAGATATAAAGATAGAGACTCCGATACCAGTGGTAAGTCTCCAAAAAAGAAATCATCCACTCCTAAAAATAGTTCTATTGGATCGTCTAAGAGTCCTAAAAAAGTTAGTTCTAAGTCAATTGAAAAAAATAAAACAGTTGAATCGAATAAATTGAGTCTATCTGACATAACTAATCAAGTCCGAAGATATAATAGTGAATCGGCTGAAATGTATTCTTCACCAAATTCACCAAGTACCATTGAGGAAGACGAATCTGTAGATCAAGAATCAGGTTCTTATGTTCGTGGAACAATCGCACCTAATTTCAAAATAATTTTTACACCATCAAAATCATTGCATGACACCGGATCAGGTCCATCAAGAATAAAAGCATTAAAAGGCTCGTCTCCATCGACAGTAAATAAGCCTTGGTACGTACGTGGTGGGACTCATACATCAACACCATCTGATCTACTGCGCCGCAATCTAGCTAGTAATGAATATGGGCTTACGCCAATAGCAAACAGTGATAAAAGCATGAGTCCAATTACTCAGAGTACTTCCAAAATGACCAAAGCTATGCAGGTATGGATGCATGAATCTTTACAAAATTCAGTTTATCTGAATGTTTAAATATAATTAATTCAAAAAGTATCAATATAACTAGGGAAATTTATAATTATGTTTTATTTTCACAGGAAACCATGATGACTCCGAGATCAAGGAAACCCGTAATGATGGTTTCGGGTACTAATCTATGTAATCTTGCTTCTTTAAAGAATGGTAATAATGGTGAAAATCACAATCGATTTAAAGTGGTCAATATCAATATTGATGAAGATGAAAAAAGCCACACGATTACGCTATCACCACCAAAATCACAGAAAAAAAGCGACAAACGATCACCTAGTAATTCAGAATCAAGAATGAAAAATCGGGAGGATCAAAATCAACCTTTGAGCAATCGTCATTTAGCTTCTTCAATTGAAGACGATGGTGCAACATTACAACCTAGTTGTATGTCTATCACAAGTACCTTCAAAGAATACCTCCTTTCGAGAAGTGTTTTGACAGCGAGTCCAGTGGACTTAAGCTTTACGTCGCGAACTGGTGATGATTTTGAACAGTCAGAATCTGAAATGAATGATTTAGAAGAAGAGGAAGGCATAACAGATAGTTTATTACGTTGCTTAGATGGAAATAATCCAAGTTCCGATACTTCAGGAATTGCTTCTGGTAGTACAAATAGTGCTGATAACTCTGCAGAAAAAATAGACGATGTGTATCCATCACCGCGAAAACGCGGAACGAATTTGCAGCGCAATGACTCCAAAAGATCAGCCAAAAATAGCTCGAAATATAATAAATCAAGAGAAGGTAATGTGATAAAACGTCAAGGAAGCGAATCAACTTCAGACTCAGAAAATACAAAAGACACTTTCCAAGAAACTTCATTTTAGTTTTAGAGTTTAACGAAGGACTTATATGAACATACTTATTTTTAAGTAAACGAATCAAATTATGCAATTGACAATCGAAAATAAATTACGTTGTATTGAGTATAATGTAAACTTTATTTTATTTAAGCACTAGTATTAATTAAACAATAATTAGGAATATAGATTTATAAATAAAAAAATCTTCATCAACTGTATAGTAAATTTTTATATGAATTTCTATATTGAATTGGATATGAACATAGAAATTCGTTAAAACGTATCAGTAAATTTACAAAATTAATTGAAAATTTATAGAAAGTAATAAGCAAACATTAAAGAAAGTATACAAACAGGTTAGAACATATCGTCATGGCCTAAGTCAGGAATATATGACAAGCCTCTTTCTTTTAATGCTTTATTCATCAGTCGTTCTTGGTCTTGTTTTAATTCTTGTTCTCTTCTTTGAGCGTCTAAAATGTCGTCAACAGAAACTTCTGATAATGGTAAATCTTTTTCTTTATCCCTGTCCTAAAAAAAAAAAAAATAAATATAAACCATGTTCGTATTTGGATATTTTTCGACTTGTTATCATTCAGTAGACAACAATTATTATTTTGTAAGATTTACATAAATAAATTTACTCACAATTTCTCCTAAAAGGACTACATTTTCTCCACGAATAATAAAAACACCTCTTGGAATGTCTCCATATTCTTTGCCTACATGAATTCTTTCAATTGTCCTATGCAAAACAAGATTTGCAAACTGATCCACACTTCTGAGATAGCCAATGAGAGTTCGACCATCTCTCAATAAGACCATCAATTTTTCTAAATTAAAATCATAGTATAATCATGGTTGTTTAGGTTAAAACATAAAGTAATAATATCACTATTATTCTTCAACAATTAAAAATAGAAAAAAAAACATACTATCAAGTTCATCAAGAAGTGATGCAGTTCCTGGAATAACGTCCATTTTTATATTTGCTTTGATATAACAATGTTTTTATTTTGAGTATATGTTACATTAAATTCTAACACTCACAAGTTTTTTATAGAATAACAATATTATGTTAAAAAATAAGTAATAATATTTTACTCAATAGTATAGGTTAGGTAACTTAAACTGTCAGAGGTAATTACACTCTAAACTACAGTGCGCAATATTTTTACGCCGAAATTGTTGTACGTCTGCGTCGTATCAGACGCGCAAAGTATAGATTTTTTAAATGCCTCTTTTTAAGTGAAAATAATTCTAATTATCATGTAATGCAATTTTACTACGATTATCTTATTGATAACCTATAATTTATGAACATTCAATCAATAAAACCAATTAGACTATAATTATATTTAACTCGTTACAATTTTCAATAGTATAATGAATTTTACAATTAACTATTCAAGTTACATGAAATTACTTTTTCCTATAAACAAAATAAACAATGCCTACTATTCTGCAAATTAATTACCAGCAAATTATATAACAGTCAATTGACAACAAATGTTCGTTTCGAATTGATCATTGTTCTTGGAACGAATGACTTTTATTTATAAGATTACATTCAGCTTATTATAGTGCTTCTCATATTGTTATACATATGTACACGTATATATACGTAATATACCTATTGTATTATTTATATTCATCATACAAAATAAAGATCTCATCGTCTATTGCACGTAACATAGTAATGAGCAGAAGAAAGAGAAGGAGTAAAAGGCAGATATAGAGGAGGAGACAAAATATACTTAAGTATCTTCTACAGAGTTCGTTCTTTTCACTTTCACTTCACTCATCTTATTATTCCAAGTCTTTATCCATTTCTAAGTTGATTGTGTGTCAAGCATTTTAAAATTTCTGAAGAAACAATCTGTTTACATGATGTTTTCAAGTATTACCTGGATGTTATTTGTTTTCTTCAGTGTAGTTCACGGTCAGGAAGTCTTCGTAAGTATAATTATGACGTAATAACATTTAAAATGGGTGGACAGTGACTAATTTTATTTACAGAATACTCTACCTCCACCAGTGATGACAAGTTTCACTTGTAAGGGTAGAGAGACCGGTTTCTATGCTGATATTGAGACTAATTGCCGAGTTTATCATACTTGTGATGATCATGGTAATAAATTTACTTATCACTGCCCACAAGATACAGCTTTTCGTCAAGATTCACTGGTCTGTGATCATGCATATCGAGTTGACTGTCAAAAATCTGCTGAATTAATTCTCCAACGATCAATCCAAGACTCTCAAACTGAGCCTGATAATGTTCAAGACTTTAAGACATTCTCAAGAAGCTATCAGATTGCACCAAAACCTTCAGTTCATCTTTTAGCACCTAAAGAAAGTGATCAAAAGCCTACGACATTTGTGATGAGGTCTACTATGTTCTTTCGAGATCAGTCAAACTCCAGGAATGACAATCGACAGTCCAAGAGTCAAAAATTGATCAAAGAAAATTTTTCTACCTCTTCAACACCTCCACCATCTACTACCAAACAGTCTTTTTCACAATTTCAATTTAAAAACTCGATAAAACCATTTGCAGTTTTGGAAAAACCAAAGAATTCTCTTTCTGACAATGAATCAAGTGCAGAAAACTTTCAACATAATCGACAAAATCCTTTTAATAGAACGACACGAATTTTAAATAATAACAACTTTCCTTATATTGAAACCTTGAAATCTATGCAGAATTATAGAAATAAGGAGAATTATTTCTCAACTACTGTCAGGACTACAACTGCTGGAACCGAATTTCCCATTCCTAAGTTCAGTAATGCTTTAAGTGGATTTAATTCTGAAGATCCATACTATCCTCGAAGTTCTAGTACAGAGAAGGTTTACAGTTTATCTACAAAAAATAAACAAAAGTTTCCGGCTTTTACAACTCCAAACTATCAAGCAAGTAGTAAAGAATTGAAGATACCTGATTTTCTACCCGATCTCAATTCTGTGGAAGATCTTGTTGATCGTAGGAAGCTCTTCTTTATTCCATCAGCAAGAAAGAATTGAAAATTGATGGATAATTGTGTAATCAAAGAGTGTGTAATCATTGATAAATTATAACTCATTGTAGGTGATTATATTATACAATAATACCCAGACAAGGAAGGCCGTTTGCTCGAGGTTGAAAGATACAATAGATATTTATATTTGTATATGTTTTTATATGAATTTTTATATTTTATTATAAATATGAAAATAAAGTTTAGTATAAATAATGAACTAAATCAATCGATTAATTTGTAACGTATCATAATAAATATTTTTACTGTTTAATTTATTACTAAAATTAAATAAACTATTTATGTAATAGTTTTTACACAAATTTATAAGCTGGAAAAGTTATTTTCAATGGCTCTGATATATATCCATTTGTGGCAACAGAATATAAAGTAAGTTCTGTTGGTTTTGTCAAGTCAAGAGATGATAAAATTGCTTGAGATCTTGTTGCTGATCTCACACGAGTCGTTACGACCCTATGAATTTATTATATTGTCTTATAAATGCATTTTTTAATGATATTCAAATTTTACCTACCCATTAACAAGAACCTCATACCCACGGATATTACTCAACTCTTTAGGAAGGTCCCAGGCTATATGTAATGATTGTAAAATAAGCTTGACGACCCTGAAGTTCCTTGGCGCCGGAACTGAATCATGCTGACTCAATTTTTCTTCACTAGGAGGTTTCTAGGGTAAAATAAAGAAATATTTAGATGCTAGATATTTAACTGAAAAATATTTCAAGTCTTGACCAGAATATTTTTATTTTCTTTGTATAACTGACTTATTCAAAAATTATTTGTTAAAATTCATTAACATAATAGTTTCCTAGAATACTTTTAATACCGAGACTGATACAACTACAATTAGAAAAAAATAAATAAAAATTCTAATAACCTGCTGTTTTAAAAATTTGTAAAGTAGTGATCGATCAAAATCAATGTCAGTTTTAGGGAGATCAGTGGTAAGATTTTCAGCAACCACATCAACATCATTTAAATTTATTAATCTTTGTGCAAGAACTGCTATAAGTTCATCCTTGACTTGACATTTCATCTGGAGAAGCTCAATAGTGGTCATCAATCCTATTAGAGTATTTTTTATAAGACACATGAAGAATAGTTTTTCCTTTATTGGATTTAATAGAGTATTATATTCAAACCAGAGTCATTATATTTATCCAGTGAAAGTTCAGGTATAACTTTTAAACAATCTCCTGGGATATAGTTAACGCTGTTACAACATCGTCTGTAAGAAAAAAATAAGATAATATGCATGATCATGAAATTTATATCCATTTATATTTAATGCCAATCAAGCCACCTCTTCAATTTTTAATTGCAGAGTATGCTATCTTACTTCATTTTAAAAAAAAAAAATTGCAGTTATTAAAGATTGTCCAAGAAATTAAAACTCATACTGAGATTTATTATTTTTCTTTTTAATACCTTTTTAATTATTAATAATATTTCTATTTTAAGTGCTCACCCGATTGGTAATGTTTCATTAGAATTTTGGTCTACATCATCGATAATTTCAAACATTTGTCCACAACCACAAATACATTTTCGGAGTTCGCCTCGTGTTATGTACTTACAACCACAAGGACACGTTGATCCAGTTTTGGAATTAATTATTTTTCTTTCATCATTTTTCTTCACTTCTTTAACTTCATCTTCATTTATTCCCCTTTCGTCATTATCACTATGCTTTGAGAAATGAAATGAAGTTTTTATTAAGCTTAATGAAATTGAGACTAAATATACAACCATAAAGTTAACGATCAGGTATATAAATCATTTTTAACTTATTGCATTTGCGTAACTTCATCCGTTATGAAAAAATAACTTCACGAATTATCTGAAGTAAACGATAAAAATGAAATTGATTACTTAATTAAATTTTTAATTATTTTCTCATCAATTATTTAGACTTATGATGCATGCATATGCCTTTTAAATAACCAATTAATTTTTACTTCACACAATTAACAGAATCAGAATAACGGTACAAGACTCTTTATGCCTTTATATTACACAATTCAATTGATATGATAATGAAAGCAACATCACCTCCATTTTAGCATCATCTAGTGAAGAAGTAAACGTTTGTGAATGACTCTTCGTAACATTTGCTATTTCTCCTCGTGATTCTGTAGCTGGGTCATCTTTTGAACTTGTCTCAATATCAGTTGCAATGAAGCTTCCATTCCCTTTCACTTCTGAAGAAAGGCAATTGTATTTACAAGGCAAATAACTATGTCCATATTTACCTTCACCCAGTGAATTAACTTCGACTTCATTAAGGTTACAATTCCAACAATTATCAACAGATCTAATACTTGGATCTTTGGGAATATTTGGAATAGTTGCCCAATCAAGTTTATCACATTGACATTGATTTCTACAACTGCAAACCCATTCACCTTCAGAAGTTATTGAATCTGGACCCCACACCTGACAATTGCACCTCAAATGTGATGGTATTGCCTACAAATATCAAGCTTATCATGTTATTTATAATATTTACGTGAATGAAAAATATTTTTTGCAGTAAATGAATATTCATAAAGTGAAATTTATCAATTTCGTAATTTATGTGAATGAATTTATTGTTATCGAACATACTTAAATGTATTTGAAACCAATTAAAAAAAAGTTAACCTATATTCTCTAGGATCGTTATTCTCTAATTAATTTATTATTCAAGTAGCCATGAAATTGATAACATTTGTGCATAATTACTTTGTGAGTGGAACTGGAATTGCATGGAAATTTCAAATCTTTTAGTGAATCAACTGTATCTTTAATTGGTTCTACTAGTGTATCGAGGCCAAATTTCTAGAAAATAATTACAGTAGTTAGTCGGAATTGTAACTTATAAATTAAATACATCAAATTCCTTTTACCAGAGCTTTTTTTTGAAGAGATTCAAACTCTTTTGCAATATTAGTCAAACTGGATTGGCTATTACTTTTGTAACATGGCTGTAAATTTTCAACATTTTTCTTTCCAGTAGAATGTCTGGAATGATTTTGAATAGGATAAGAAAGAGTTTTTTGCGGAAGGTAATCGGTTTCATCAATCAGATTTGATAGAACTTGACCCATTATAAAAAATAATATTCATACAGGTAATTTTGTTTTAATTTTAGCATTACTAATTAGCAACTCTATATCATAAAGTCTAAATTTAATTGAAAAAAACATACTGAACATAGCAGATGAAAAAATTTCAATTCATAGCTAAGTTCAAACAATTAAAGTATCGATCGATTGTAGACATTTATAGATAAATGAAGGAATCAAGTATTGGGTAAGGAATTATAATAATATTTAACAAATATTTCACTAGGTACAGTGTTTCTTTAATAAAACATATTAATAACGCATTGATAAATATATTGTTTATATTACAATAATTATTATTCGCAATAAAAAGATTAAAATCTAGAGTTAAATGTTATTACTTATAGGCGGGCCAAACCAACGATTACAGATCAGAAGCACGAATTAAAAAAGACGTCTCTTGTCCATATCATTTCGTTACTCCATAATCTTAACTAATACAACTAAACATAAAACTTGGACTAGAAGTTACCTGAATCTTAACTAAATTTTTGTACACTCATCAACAGATCCCCCGACTAATTTTTGACAATAATTACAATAAAATTGTCAAAAAAAAACCTCTAACTACTTATGAAGTAAATAAATACAAGAACGCACGTCGATATTTGAATAAAATGATAACAAAATAATTTATGAAACATACAAAACAAACAAAACCTTACTTGTAATCAATTACTTCAACAACTTTCTATTCGTCGTTATATTCAAGTCGGATACATTTGTGGTCGTTTTTTTTTAACGAAAACTATTTGATGGCGTTGAGTAATTTTACACAGTAACTGGAGTTTAAGATTGTATGATGCAGCTTTTAATGCAAGATGTAATACGCAATAATTTGTATCATAGAGAGGAAGAAAGAGAGAGAGACAAATTTTATAAATATATCAAAAATGTGATGATGTTCATTTGTGGTTTAGAAATGCTGATTAGAGGTGCCTTCGTTTGCGCGGTAGGACGTACCATTCCTGGTCGTCACTTGGGCATACCAAGCAGCGCCAGCAGTATTGTCCTGAAATTAAAAAATCATAATTTCAAAACATGTTCTATTTGATAAAATCACGTGCGATGAATATAAAACGTAAGTTTGCTAATCAACAGTCACACCCGAATGTAGTTTTGTTTTATTGCTCAAACTTAAATTTTATAGTTACTCCAAAAAGTGATCCAATCAATTATAAAATCAAATGAGAAGCTATAAGTATTCGTTCTAATTGTTCTTCATAAATTTTCAATTAATTTATCATAACATACCTTACTGATAGAATTAATAATGCAGTGCCCTCAACATGAGTGAGGTGTTATGCTGGTCATGCGAGAAGCTTCTGCTGCAAGAGTCAAGCCACTATTTTGTGAAAATATTACCGCAACGAAGAAATAATAAATCCTTCACCTCCAACGAAAGTAGATGATCTGCTAGAAACAACCAACAAATTAATTAGTTGAGATAATTAATAAACACAACAGATTTAATTTTAATAAATTATTTAATACAATCAACTGAAACTAAGTTTAGTTTCATTTTTGCAGTTGAGACAAATGAAATATTTTTAAGTAATGAGAGAAACATTCAAATAACGAACTAAAGTAAATAGATAAAAATTACTGTACAATCATTCAATTATAATGATAAATTGGAAAAATAATCAATAGAGCAACATAACCACCACCTTAAGCGCCACGACTAATTATTACTTGATATGTGTGAAGGAGTGTGCACGAGACAGATAAACCACCCTCTCAAACAAATTTAACGCCACATTACCATTCGCCCTTTCTATTCGATAGTTGATAAATAAATGCGATAATTCAAATAAACTACACTACTCAGTTTTCAGCATTAGATCGACGAACCGCAATAAAAAGCCGTCGTTTCTAGTTTAATTAATTACAATAATGAAATCTATGAAATATAACAAAAGTCACATATTCTCCATCAAAACGATTGCTTTTCTATCTTGTAGGTGAAATAAAGATGAGCAGGCTAGGCGAGTCATAGTTGATTAGTTTTTTTTTTTACTTTTTTGTTGATAACACAGTAAAAAATTCTGGGCATCCAATAAAGTTTTAAAATAAATATATTATTGAATTATGTAAATATTACTTCAATGATTGTTATGCATGAATTTAATGATATATTAATTTGATAATGAATGTTACAAGCTTTTTAGTGTTAACATTTATTAAAAAATATTAATCACATTCACAAATTTAAATGGTTTTTCTTGGAGATTTATTTAACAATATATCTTGAAGTAGCACAAAATTTTTTACTGCATGATATCATTTGTTTAGACTGACCTTAGGCCAGTCTCGAGCCAGCCATTAAGTGAAATGAGATTGTATCTCATCATCCATTTCTCCAAGGTACATATTCATACCCTGTTTTATTTCCCTCTGTCGACTTGCATGTCCGAGACATCATCTCTTCGAGCTTCCGTTGAACCGTTAGTAAATTGATCCATATTATTATTTTACACTTCTGCCCCTTTATGATTATTATTCATCAATCATGATTATTTTATTACTTTTGTTTTTAACACAGTTCAGCTCCGCCATCATTCATATCGACATTTTTGAAGATTGTACACTCGGAAGGATGAAAATATGTTTAGAAAGAATGATAGTTTACGCGGTACGGCTGATTAATCATCTACACAAAATGATGTTACTAACTCTACACGCATATCTCTTGATAGAGCACGAGTTCATGAAGACCAACAATTGATTTAACCAAGTTGCTGCTATTATTCGCGTTCCACACTCTCAACGCCCAACCGTCGCACTCCCTACGCCTATTTCGTCCTTTTCTAACCTTCTCTTTAGCCTCTGACTTGTTTATTGACACAAAAGCATCCACTGGATTTTCTTTAGATTGTAAGTGAACACGAGACACTGAGCCTGATGCTCTTTCTTCCTCATGCTCCTCGCGAGTTTCTTCTACAAATTCCGCGATTACATCTTCTGAAGGATTACGAAGTACATTCTCCTGTAAACAAATGGTTTTTTTTATCTTTAATTGATTCCCTCTTAATTCAGTCACCTTTAATTGGCACTCTTTAAAATTTTTTTTATTTAGCTAAATAAATGATCAATTTTTCTTTAATGTTTTTCACTCTTATTATGATAAAATTGTTAAAGAATTTTTTACAAACTAATAAAAAAATTAATTGAAGTCAATGTATCAATTAATTGCATTTTTAATTATCATAATTAAGAGAAAGTAATTGAGCTCGAAAAAAAAAATCTTATTTAATAAAATAATTATATTTAATGAACTTGTTTTAATAAGATTCATGGAAAAAATTATTCTGATGTAACAATAAAATATTTTATACTCTAGGAATGATTGAAAAAAAATTTTTTAATTAAATGCCATTAAAGGATTATAATGTAATACAGAGTTTAGCTGAATTGAATAGCTTTTGAAATACTTACCAAACCATCACAATCAGTCTGTTGAAATTTTTCAGTCTGTGTAAATCGATTGATTACAGATTTTTTGAATTCATTATCGACTTCCATTGGTTCATCAGTTTGGTTGATTTTATCTGAAGTATGGAGAACTGTAAAAGCTTTTGAAGTATCAAATGCATGGCCCATGTCAATTTCGTCATTGTGACGCGAAATATCGCAACAGGAGTGATTTTTTATACAATCCTCAAGCTCAAAAATTCTTCCTATCATCTTCTGGTTAATAGCATTTTTCTCTGTCAGATCTCGTTCAATCTTCGCCAACTTAGCAGTTTGATCATTTTCCAGCTGAGACCACGTCATATCCACTTGCTGAAGAGTCTTTGCAAATGCTCTCTCTTTACATTCTAAGTCAATCATCTGCCGCCGTAGACAACATTCAGCTCTTGCCAACTGTTGAATCTTTTCATCATAATCTTGTCTTATTGCTTCACACTGAGAGCACTCGTTCATAGAATTGTTACTTTTGTAAAGTTCAGTAGCTATTCCAAATCCATTGAAATTCTTTTTAGATGAAATCGACTGTTTAGTTTCATCAAGATTAACTAGAGCTTCGTGGAAAATATTTTGACATCGTGAAAACGATAGAGAGTCATTACATGGCATACTTCTATACTCTGTAATAATGTCATCGGTGGATGTTGAAGAATTTCGAGTGTTCGAATTTTTTGTCATGGTTCTTACATCGACTTGAGATTTTTGAATTGCATTTTCTAACCAGTAAACCTTTTCAGCAAGTCGATAATTCTCATCCAACAAGTCTTCTTCTCTCTGCTTTGCAATCAAGTGTTCCTGTAACCTTTTTTTCTCCGCTTCTTCGTATACTTCAAGTCGTTCTTCGAGTTCTCGAATCCTCTCTTTGTATGACGTCAATCGATTCTCCTCTCCAGTGTCAGAAATGTCCATTGGAACCGGTACTTTCGCCGCTCTCTCCTGAATCCTTTCACGGAGTTCCTGCAATCTCTGGACTTCTTGAAGAAGTTCACCGGCATGTGTTTCTGTTTGAGTACCACAAGTAGTAAGCTCGACTTCATGTTCCGTCTCTTCTTCGTCAAAGATTCCACTTTCTTGAAGAGACGATGGTGGTTTCTGTACTAGAATAGGTGACATTGATTGACTATACGAATTATAAGGAATTACTGTCGCGACGACTCGATCTCTTTGCTTATTTACTTGATCTTTGAACAATTGAGTTGGCTCTGGCGAAACAATTCCACTGTCTGCAGTATCTGGACTCTCTCTTGGTCCAGCTTCTTCCAATTCTAAAACTCTAAACTCCAATAATTCATTCTGCTCTCGAAGTTCTGACATTTCTGCTATCAATCCCGCTTCTCTCTCTTCAGCTTCTTTAAGTTTATCACTAAGAGCCCGACGACTGTTCTGACTTCCTCTAGTTTCTTGAAGAAGAGCTTTCTCTAGTTCTCTTACTTGACTTTTTGCATGAACTAATTCCTGCTGTTCTTCTAGATATTTCGTCTGAAGTTCATCAACTTCAAGTATCAGAGCCTCATAAGCTTCTCTTGTGATTCCTCCATTCGTCTGCCATCCACCTGGTTGTGGAGATAAAGATGAGGGTGCACTAGACAATGCACTATCACCTTCCTCATGTTCTTCTTCGTCATCGACTTCAGCGACAGGCTCTAATTCTAACCACTGCTTATAAAATTCTTCTTTTCTCTTTTTATTCGATAACTGGTCAAGCTTCCGCTCCCGTTCTTTTAATGCTTGACGTAAATATTCAATCACCTCCTGCTGTTCCATTGCAAGTTCACGAAGTCTTTCGACTTCGTCCTCGTATTCTCCTTTGCAGAGGCCCATCTAAAGATCCAATCATTTTGTCGTTAATTCAACCTATCCTACGTTAATTATAATAAATTAAACTGCTAAATGGTATTATACTTACAGTATTTTCTGATGGAACCTTGTTCTCGATCCTCGGTGTTAAACGAATCTGCTGGCCTCTCTCATTCTCCCGTAATTTTCTCATCTGTGAAAATAAATAATTATTCAAATTAAACTCATCACATTCTACTTTTATGAACTATAATCAAATGTTACTCAACTGCACAGTATAATTTCAAATCATTCAACGCCTATTTAGTTGAGAATTAATTTTAAAAAATTTCTTAATTATTACTTTAAAATTTCTACTGAAAAAATTATTCGAGACAGTGAATGATAAATTCTTTTTTTTCATTTTATTGTACCGTTGCATTATGCATCTACGTATATAATTATTTCTGGGTCATTAGAGAAGTCGATTTATAGGTGTTCAAAAAGACTTTTTCAACGATAAAATAAAAAGATTTACAGTTAACAAAATATGAAAAAAACTACTTTTTAATGAAATAAAATTTCTAAAATCATTTTTATCTGTTATTATAATAATAACAATCATTTCCCTGTGGATATTTATTTAAAAATATACTAAAAGATGTATTGGAATTTTTTTAGACAGATTATATAGTATATCTAACTTCCGTATTACTTTGAAAACTATTTTTCCAATAAAAACGATAAAAAAAACTTCTTTTCATGCTCAAGTAGTGAAAGTGGGCTCTCGACCCTCATCATCTTTCGATATTTACATTTTATCTAACCTTATAAATTATATTTAATACGTGATTGATTTATTTTATTAAAAAAAAATATATTTATAATCACTAGAATATTCCAATAAATCTTTCATGACAAAGCATAATGTTAGATTCCTTTATGTATGACTTTAATAACTGTAACTGGAAAAACATTTATGAATTATTTCTTTTTGTGTTGCAAAGCCACGACAAGAATCCCAAGACTCATGCTCTAGATATTACGATTTTTTTTTCAGAAAAAAAATCTATTGTCATCTGAGCTATGAAAGGTATTCAAAAGGCTAGGATATATTTTGTTTGCTGAATGATGTAATTACTTTGATGGTATAAAATTCAACTTTTTTGCACCACTTGAAGAAGTGAAAAGAAAAGGTACAAGTATCCTTAGAGTCTACTAGTTACCTCGTTAATGCAATAACTACCTAACAAGTGTGTTGTTGCCTGATTACTTGCCAATAAATTTGTTTGGACACCTGGAATCTTGTTCATTATACTACCTACTTGCTTCAAGGAGCTATCTGTACAGTAGAGCTCAAATTATTTTTTTACAATAATATCATAAAAGTCAAGCATCATATTGCTTTATCTTTGTGTTCTTCAAGTAATAAATGTTGATTTATTTTTTGATCTCCAACATACTAATTATTTTATCATTTGATTTATTTAAAACTCATAAGTTAAAACAATAACTTTCGTGACATCTTTATCAAAAATAAATTTATTCAAACGGAAAACTTTTTAACTTAATTGTTTTTTGAAAGTGAAGTAGAATTAAACAAATCCCCAGTGAAACTATTTCAACTTATTGTAGAACATGTTTGAAACAGTTAAAATAAATTTGTTTTTGTTTTATTGTTGAGTCTAAAACTGGTCTAAAATTCAACTTAAACGTAATAGCTATGAATAAATCATCATTTGCTTTCTTCTCTCACTGTTGAATGCAATAAAAGCAGGAAAAATGTCAGACGGTTGATGCATGACATGTAATTAGCAAACATATCAAGAGAACATGGACCAATTAGACATCTCTCAAGTGAATTACAAACAACATCCAGGAAGTTTCACGCAAGCGTTGGATTTGTTACGATTCCATCATTCCATTGTAAAGTCTAGTTCTTAGTTTAATCTCAGTTAAGACTCTATTAAACCACATAATAATGCAAGCTATGTATACGACTACCAAACAATTTCACTTTACTTGATATAACGGTACTTCTTGATTGGTATTAGATTAAATAAATTACTTATTGTCCTCAAGAGCATGCGGTAGTCTTGTGTGTGTGTGTTTAAAACCTGCATAACTAAGAACAGCTATCGGCACAGTTTTTGAACTTAAGAATTAAAAAGAGCTGATAGTTACCAGTTATTTATTTCATTCAAACGATTCTTCAAATCATCACTCTTGGTGATTATCATCAACTTTATTTGAGATATAACATAATAAAAGAATTGAAACTTTTCATTTAGTTAGATTCAGCTGATTGACTGAAACGAAGATCAATTGAAGAAGACTTGCTAAGAGATACAAGATGGTCCGGCGTTAAGAGACTGAAACCGTTACGTTGGCCCCCTGACACACAGCTGACTGGTCCTCTTGGTTTTTTTTATCTCTCTTTTTATGCCTCAGGTGAAAAACAACCTGTGCTTTACGGGTCAGGTGTTCGACCGGTCAATCTGGCCGTCTTGAATGATAATAAATGATCACTAGATAAAGTCATGATGAAATGTCCTTTTTTATTTCATCTTATATTACTGTCATTTGCGTTGATATGTATAGCACTGTCATCAGCATAAAATTATTATCAAAGTCCTTTTTATTGCAAAACATGATAATGAAGTATTGACCCCAGATGACAATTGTTTGACAAGAGTCTGGGATGACTTTTTTAAAGCCTAGTGTACATAAACTTTCTCTTGAGTTGATTGATTTTTTTCGGGCACTCCAGTACTTGTGAATTATATGAAAGATTTCTCTCGACAGTTACATCCTCGATTTCTCCTCTATTAGAAGTTTTGTATCCTTGGTATCGATACAAATTTTATTGTCACTAAAGCGTAATTATATCTAGCATGACTTCACGCTATAATTTAATAAAAAAACCAATCAGCAAAAAGCATGTTGCAGAGTCAAGAAAAGTAGGTGATAAGAAAGTATGCTAAAAATTCATACAGCGTGTAGGTGTTGTACTCGACTGGGTTTCCTGATCAGTTTACTTTCGATGTTCTTTCATTATCGATTTTCTTGATACTATTATAATTACAAGTACTCTATATCACTCTTGATGAAAAAAAAATTTTATTGACCCACTTTTTAAGAAAAAAAAAAATTAATATTAAAAATATCAGAATCATGTGAATAACGATATAATTTCAGTAAAATATTAGCATATCACTTACAGCTTTTTTATTGCCACTTTGCAATCTTTTTTAGAGGTTAGTTTCAATGTACAATTTCTTGAGTAAAAAAACAACTCCATTTATGACTTTCTTTATGCAATCTTTTAACCTAATTAATCTTAAGTAATTATGTTACTTTAAATGGGAAAATCACTACTAAAAATAAATTTGATAATTGTACTTTAATTTTCTCTTGAAAACATAACAAAGTTTAAAAGTATTTAAAAAAAAAAAAAATGTATCCTACTTTTGGATTTACATCTTAAGTAATCATTATCTTTATTTTTAAATACTATTTTTACTTAAGAATCTTAGAAAAAAACTTTCTATACACTTGTATAAAATAACAATTATTTATGATGGAAAGTATTTTCACAGGAATAATATTTCTACTTGTCGCTTGGAAATGAATAAAAAAATGAAAATGTTTAGTTAATGATTAAAGTATGTATAGATGTAAGTGAGAGACTAATTAGTCAACATGGAAGAGTTGAATTTTAGTTGAAAAAAAAAAAAAGAATTTAATTTAAAATAACGTAATCCTTTTCCCAAACTCTTATCGACTACATCCGGTTTTCGTATAATCGATCTTTGCGACAGGTGAACTGAATACGCAGTATTACCGTTATCTTTATGTCTCTCTTCAACATTATATTCTCCTTCTGCTGTTTCATTTGCAGAAGAATCTTTGATATCTCTTATTCTCAGTCTTCCTTCTTCCTTTCATCTAGCAACAGAATAATCTTTTTTTCTTGGGTCAAATTCTCACCAGTATAATGTCTTGCAATAGATTCTTTCGTCTACTGCGTAGGAAGAAGTACGACTTGTTCCTTCTAATTTCCTTGTCGTAGGCGATGTACCTACTATCTTTTAAGATTGTTTGTCACTTCCTATCTTCATACTGAATGAGTAAGTACACTCCTTACGCAGTCTATTAATAATGTACAGGCTTTCTAATAAATTATATGCAAGAATATTTCATGAAATATTTTTGTCTACTCAAAGACTTGCATGCATTGAAATTTTTTTTTTCTACAAAAATGAATAATGTAATTGAGTCCTTTATTCATTATCTACATATGGAAACTGCTAGATTTACATCTTTCCGCCAAATATGTCATGTCCCACTAATCAAATACTTGATTAGAATATTACTTATTATTTTTTTTGTTTGTTTCCTGTAATAGACAGACGTTACTTTGATATTTATTCAGTAATAAGATTTAAATTTGATAAAATTTTAATTAACATTATCCTGTGAAAGTGTTTTTCATGGGTTAGTTCATCAGTTATATGACATGTGATTGTCAAATTAATTATTAATTGATCTCAATAAATTAAATGACGATTTATACATAATTGAGCATAATAACTTAATAGAAGTAAGGTTGGATTTTAAGCTATAATAGTTTCTTCTTAAATAGAAATAAGATGAAGATTTTTCTAATGGTAAGAAAGTGTTTGATACTTTCATTATTTTTATAAAGAAATTTTTCTACACATGACAGAATAAAAATAATGTGTTTCAAATGATTTCTAGATCATAATTAATAAATGAATATATTAGTAATGCAAGGCGTTAAACAATCAATAAGCTTTCTCATAGTAAAGACAATAGAATATATAATTGAAACTGTTTTAAATAACAGAAAATTAAAGCCTCCATTGTGATCCTATTAAGGACTAAAATAAATAACGTGATCGAGGCCTCAATTTCCTCTTGAATGTACGAAAAAGGTGTCTCTGGTATTTAACGGCACGTGCCATGTCCAATTGAAATTAAATAAATTGACCTTTTCTTTAGTATGTTGCAGAATAAAATAAATTTATTACAGCAGGTATTCTTTGTGCCGAAGAATCACGTGCGCTTGCTATCCACCTTCTTCTGGGACATTTACGCTGGTTTGTAAATCGTGACTTTGCTTCATTCTTCTCTTCTCTTTCTAAAACCACTCTCCAGCCTCACTTGTCCCACTTTTTCCTGCCTCTTACC